GGCGTTTCGAGGGGTTGCTCAACACGGACTGCTCCGTCGATCGTTCAGACGAGCTTTCGGGAAGCATGATGATCAGGTTGATGATGGTGGTGACGATTGTGGCGGTGGCTTCCCTGGCGTGAAAAATAAAAAGGTTCTCGAGTTCTTCAGCTTGCCAGATGTTCGCAGCCAGTTCGAGGTCGCAGAGGTGATATCGCGCCCGATCCAATCCTTCCTGAACCATTCTTTCAAAGCAGAAAAAGCAGTCAACCACGTGATCGAACTCGCGAAGACCATTCCGAGGGACGGCGCAGGCGTGCCCATCGATCGCCTTCTCGAGTTGTCGGCCGGCCAGCAGCAGTCTTCAGCGTTGAACCTCGAAGTGCTCGACGGTGGGCGGGCGGAGAAGGTAATTTCATCGTTTGGGAAGTTATTGCTTGATCTGGAAGACCCTCTGTGGGCTGAGGTTGACATGTTGGACAACATCGGGAACTTCAATCAAGTGTGCGATGCGATGCTCTGCGCAGCTGGCGATTGCTACTACAGGCTCATGCTCCCAACGTTTGACCCGAAATTCAAGATCTTCGGAATATGTAAGTCTTGGGGCTTTGATGCTGGGCTTATCAATGAGGTGGCAAAAGAATTGAGGAAGTTAGAAGATGCCTATGATTGCGATCAGTGTTTGGACCCCCACTTTACAAAAATATGGTTCTCGAGATTGGAAGGCCCCCTCGAAGAAGCCAAGCGAGCCCACTCCGACTTAAAAGACATACTGAGCATCCTGCCAGTGGGGGCGGCGAAGGTAGAGCGCAAGCATATCGTTGGACAGCAGTTCAGACCAGCAAAGGGAAAGCGAGGCAGAGCCTTTTCGAAACGTCAGTTGGCCAAGCACGCCCTTTGCAAGTCAATCAGGATCTCACACACGGCATTGCAGCGACGGGTGATGGACGATGTATTTGGCAATGCATGTGCCAGAAAGGCGTTCTTCAGACATCTCCAGAGCTTTTCGATGAGGACTGCCAGGAAGCGACGGCCCGACACAGTGGCATCGCTAGACCCAGGGGCAGCGGCTAGGGCGCCGAGCAGACGCACCCGCGCCTTTGACATATTCACGTCGGAACTGTTTGGCATTTTGCCTGCAACGATGTCGTTTGCTGAGAGACGTGCAAGAGTTTTGGGAGACTGGAGGGCGCTATCAAATCACGATAAGGCAGAGTACCAGGCACGAGCTGATGCCAGAGACATTGCTCGAGGCGACGGGGCTGGTGAACAACTACCTGGAGGGCGACAACGGCAACGTACTGATCGCATGCGAGCTGTTCGACGGAAGCTTGCAGAACTCGTTGGGCACGATGCTTGGGCTGGTGCGCGGGGAATGCAGGGTGGGGTGCAATTGTGTTGTTCGCCTTTCCCTCGCCTCGTCACCCCCCGCCTCCTCCTCGTCCTCACCTTCGCCCTCCGCGTCAAGGCCATGGCGCTCGTTGTTCCGTGCCCTCTCTCCTCCCGCCCCCGATCCGTACCCCTGTCATGCATCGTCGCGCCTTCAGTGTGAGCATGTATGTATTAGCAATGGTGTATCAAGCTGGTCTGACCTAATCTGGCGAGTTTCGGGATTGTTCCGTGCGTGCAGAAACGCTAACGGAATCGCCGTTCTAGGTCGGTAGCCCGCGCGTCACGGCGGCGAGCTCTAGCTCGGGGCAACCATGTCTAGTTATGGTGTGTAGAGGGCAATTGTCGCGGTGAGTCCGTGGGCTAGCGCGCCCCATAACGTTCTGAAGAAGCTGTCCCCCCTCTCATGGGTGGTTAAGAGAGGCGGCCGCCCCTCTCAGCCCCGATTGGCCTGCGCGCCCCATCCAGGGAGGAGGAAGAGAAGGGGTGGAGGGGGGGCAGCAGCAGCAAGGGTAGGAAGAGGAGGAAGAGGAGGAGGAGGAGACGGTCGTAGATCTACCTCCTTCAACACACATCTCCATGTTGGCGAAGGCTGCTGGCAAGGACTACGTTCTTAGGTGCATGCCCCCTCCTCCTCAGACCCCCCAACGCCACTCGCGCCAGAGTGCCCCCGTGTTCTGGCGCACGGGCGTGGGGGTGGTGGGGGAGGGGGAGGAGGTGACCCCCGCGAGGAGGGTAGGAGGAGGAGGAAGGGGAGGAGGAGGAGGAGGAGGAGGATGACGCTGAATTGGTGAGGGGAGGTGCTTCGCAGCTGCACTCCTTCGACGCGGGCCTGAGGAGCGAGAAGATCCTGGACGGCTCGCACTCGGCGATGGCCGCGAGCGCGAACAGCGCTGCGGAGACCGACCAGGCCGCCACGCCCAACCCAGCCGTTGTGCCCCGCTGCTTTCAGCCATGTTCAGTTCGATACGGTGGCGTGTGTTGCAAGGGCCCTCTGTTGCAAGCTACCGTTGATTTCAGTAAAAACCTGTATGCAGTCACGAAGGCGAATCAACCCCGCCTGAAAACAAAAAAGTTGGGAAGAAGGATGTGCTAGTGTTTCCATATGTCATCAGCTTGAGAGCAGATGGTGTTCCTCCGAGATATTTCTATCTGACGAGGGTTCACAACAGAGGTGAGTTCGTGATTGATTCCCGCCAACATCGGAATTTACAATGGCTCAGAGGTGTTGGGGATCGAAACTCCGTTTCGAGCTCTCCTCGGATTCGGCGCAGTGCGAAAATTCTTGGTCGATGTTGGTGGTGCCGCTGGCGTGGGCCCTGGGGCAGTCCAATCGGTCGCAGTGCACTTCCACAAACATGTAGGTAGGAGCGACCTGAATGAATACATCACAACTTTAGAACCTAATTTTGATCAGCACGTCCCTCTGAACCACGCAATGAAGCGCCCGAAAGAAAAGCCAACGACGGGTCCGTGGAAAGTACCGTTTTTCAACATCGGGGTCAAGGCGTCGGTTTTGAATAAGGTGCCGATAGACAAGCAAACCAATGACATCGACAAGGGGGGCAGCAGCAGTGACGCATCGGACGAGGAGCAGGCGTTGAAGGAGAGGGCGGAGGAGGAGCCAGATGGCGATAGTGCATCGGATGCATCTCCAGGGATTTCAGATTTGGACAAGGACTCCATGGGTTCTCAAATCAGTTTGGGTCGCCCTCGTTCTTCCCCCCATCGCCCTCCGCATCCCCCCCGCTTCCCTCTCCTGCTTACTCCTTCTCTCCCATCCCCACATCCTCTTACCTCCCCGACCTCCTGTCTGCCCCTTTCCCCCATCCACCCTCCCGCGAGGATGATCCAGACGAGCCGCTCTTCACTTCCTCCGCCGCCAGACCCTCCAGCTCCACATTATCAAGATGTGCTAGGGCTTGTCGACTGCCACTTGTCCCCCTCAGCTCGGTCTGTTTGCCCCTTGTGCGATTCAAAGATCGACAAGGGCATTTTCAGATTTAAGTATCGGTTCAAGGCCGGCTCGAAGATAAGTGCTGAGCGCTATATCCACGTTGGGTGTTTGAAGGATTGTTCGGTTGGCAATAGAGCTCACGATCGGCAAAAGCTCGACGAGCTAATTGCCTCTGCTGACGCTGAGGCCTTGCCGAGTCTTCGCAAGGCAGCCGAGGACATATCATAATTTAATCAGACCTTGTACTTTTGGCCCCCCCCCCGCAGCCGATGAAAAGTCACGCGACCCTCGCCCCGACGATCGTCGCGCCGATTGGAAACGGCACGCCACTTTCGATTGAAATTCTGGGGAGCTCACGCCCGACTACCTAAGAACAACCCCCTGGATCAGATCACGTTTAAGAACGGTTTAAGAACAGTTAAGAACTGAGTTTGTTCTGACACCCCCCCCCGCCTTCATTTTTTGCGACCCTCACGCACTTCAGCCCCCATGGGCTAAGAACAACCAGTTGTTCTTACTTGTTCTTGGGTCCTATCCCTAAGAACAACGTCTGTTCTTAATTGTTCTTATATGTTCTTAGGGTTGGTTTTGGCATGGGGGGGGGGCCGTGCGCTGCAGCTGAGCTGCCGATTCGAGCATGCCTGTTGCCGCGGCGGCTCAGTGCCCTCGCGAGGCGCGGCTGCGGCAGCGTCGCCACTGTGCACTGGAAGCGTTGCTCGCCAACATACTGTCGTGAGACAACATAACAAAACTACAACGTAATAGCTCGGAGGAAGAGCCCAGCGGTGCTCTTGAATGTCGAAGGAAGAGGATGAGGGAGGAGGAACAGAGATGGAGAGGAGGAGGAGGTCAGAGAGGTGACAGGCACATCATACTGCAGCAGTGCACACCCAGGACGAGCAGAGCTAGGGAGCCACAGATGGGCCATGTCCCAGGGGGGCCAATGCACTTTTAGGGCAGCAGTGCGTCGACGTGGTGGGCATAGGCAGATATCGAGAATGTTCGTTTCATGTCATCTCGTCTTCGCTCAACGATGCTAAAGACCTTCGTGTCGCCATAAATTCGGTTTCATTTCGTCGCCTTCGCCCGTTCGGAGGAGGGGGGGTAGGGGGAGGAGGAGGGTTCATCCGATTGATCGTGTTGTCCGCAGGAGCTGACGCGGCTGGATGTGGCGCTCTTCTTCATCCACCCTTATCCCTACTCCTCCTCCTCACCTCCCTCCTGGCCCTGTGCTTCGGGCCCCAAATGTTGCCCAACATGTTGTCCCCGAGCCCTCCGCCCACCCTCCTCCGTCTCCCCTCCAGAAGTCCAGGGGGCAAAGCTTGGGGCTGCGATGCTCCAGCCAGGACCCGTGCACAAAAACGGCAGTAGCGCCCGCCGCCCCCTCGCGCGTGCCCAACTTCAAAAGCAGAGGTGCAGAGCCCACGTCGGCCCCCAACGGTGACCCCCGAAGCAGGCCGGGGGGGGGGGGGGGAATAGGAGGTCGGGGCACGAAACCTGGGCACGAACGTTTGCACGGAACTTGGACGCTAAACTTTGTCAGTAAACGTTTTTTTCCACCGTCAACCTCCTCCTCCCCTTCCGCCCCTTCCTAGCCCTTGTGGCTCAAGGCCTCCCGATTCGGTTTCGAGGCCTTGGCTTTGATTGGGGAACCTGCGCACGGCACAGCGCAGAGATGCCGCCCAAGAAGTCGGGCGCGGCCAAGAAGGGCAAGGGCTCCAAGAGCTCGTCGGACGCTGACAGGAACCCGCTGCTGGACTTCGACAACAGGTTCTGCGAGGACTGCGGCCAGTGGACACACAGCGAGGATCGAGATGGCCCCAAAGGCCAGGTGACATGGCTGAAGTGACACAAGAGGAACCACACCTCCAAAGGCGAAGTTTTGACGGGCGACCAGTGCTACGGGTGTCACGGGGCTCAGAGGAAGATCCTCGGAACCAGAGCTACCCTCGCAGATGCCCGTGCGACTCGAAAGAATGATCCTGCCATCGATGAGAAGATCGTGAACTGCCGCAAGGGTTTGGTTGATGGCACTGGCAAGCACGCCAGGACCGACGGGCTGACCATCAACACGCAGAAGTCGGATATGAAGTTCAACCAGGACTTCGACTCTGGCATCTTCCAGCCGATCCAGTACGTCGGCAGGACTCGTTCCCCTTATCAAATGTGGCGAGTGAGGATGAGTGACGATGAGGACGAAGAGGGTGGTGGAGGATGGAGGCGAGGATGGATGGGGGGAGGGTAGCTTGCGCCTCCCCGAGGATCTGGAACCTCAGGTGGGAGTCACAGGAAGACCTCATCCAGCAGATCGAGGCGCGCGGGAAAGAGGTCGTGGAGGACGATTGTGGCGTTCTTGGCATCGAGGTGTCCGACGTGTCTGGGGTGGAGTTCGGGGCATACAGGTTCAAGCGTGGCAGGGAGAGAGCGAGCACGGAAGTCAAGACCGAGGGCCGCGATGATGGGCAGTCGGCTAGGGAGAGGCAGGATATCGTCGTGTCGAAGGAGGGGCTCGGCCGCAGACGGGTCAGCTCTACTCAAAGCCAAGGCTCTGAGCTTGTTGGCGACCATCGGCCCGCAACTGACCGCCTTGTCAGCGCTCCCCAAGGTGCCAGCCTCGTCGACCCAGGTCGTGAGGCCGATGAGACCCTCGCCGACGACAAGTCTGTCAGATCACAGGCCACCTCGGCGAGGTCGGCGGTCACTAGCGTACCACCTGCGACGCCAGCTCCCTCCCTGAAGAGGAAGGTGCCTCTCGAAGCGGTGGAGAACGCATCATCTCACATGAAGAAGACACGGAGGACGGGGGCCTTGGCTGCGATCGACAGGGCCGAGGCTACCTTGGAGGACGCGGAGAAGAAGTACCATTGGGGGGGGCACTGGGAGCTCAGGAACCGCGAGAAGGAGTTCCAGGCGTTCATCGCGCGCCTGCAGCGTGCTGTCAAGGCTACAGGGGGCATGGCAGGCAGCCAAGCTGCGTTGGACATCAGCGCCGGGATCTTCGCCATGGCGGACGCATTGGAAGCCAGACAGGGTTTGCTCGACAAGATCGGCGGCAAGCCTCGCGAGTTTTACGCTTTCGCCTCGGCGCCACTCTCACAGGAACACTCGGAGATGATCAAGGGTGCGCCGATGGAGCTCGTGTCCACCATCCTCGCCCTGAACCTCAACGCCCTCATCGACAAAGTCCCGACCAATCCCGAGTACGTCGGCACCCTCCTGTCGGCGCTCACCGTCGAAAGTTCGAATACGCTGTCATTGTCCACCTTATTGGTGTGCGGCGATGCTGATAGGGCGAAGGCTCAGGCTGCCAAGCTCCGAACGTCACTCGTATTGGCCCTGGGGAGCGTCGTTTTCAAGATTACCGACGAGTCCGCGATCTGCCTTATCAGCCAGAAGATCGTGACTGTATTCCCGAAGCTGGCCGATTCCATCTTCGGCATGGACATGGGCTCCGCGGACTTCGTGAACGGCTTGGCCCCGCAGGCAGCCATGGACCTGGGCGCCGTGTCGATCGTCGCCCAAGTTCTCGACCGCATGAGGGCTGCGGACGCTCACGGACCCGTGTTCCCAGCCCAGCTTCGCCACTCGATCGTGAAGTTGGTGTCCAGCGTGGCGAAAGTCTCGGCCAGGATGAAGGTTAATTTCAAGTCCCTGGGGGGTTCCCATGCCACCCATGGTAAGAAAGCATGGGAAGATATGTGCAGGATGACCGATGCCGCTGCCAAGCACCAGGAGGACACATCCCAGAACGAGTTCGTGAAGAGAGCCAGGGAGCTTGCGCATCAGGTGCGAGTGGGCGAGCCCGAGAAAGCGTACGAGGCACTGATCGCGGTATGCGAACTGCCCAGCGAGGCATGCAACTTTGGCGACTTCTTCAGCCAAAGAGGCGTCGCTGAAGATTCTGATTCACCAGCAGAGGGAGAGATGCTCGAGGTCTGCAACACGTTCTGCGATGGAACGCTGCAGCTGTTCAACGTGGCGGTCGACCTTACCATGTCGTTCAACGATTTGTTCACTGGCATCTATGAGGGATCTGGGTATACGCCGCCTCTGACGGACAGGCAAGTGAACCCCGATGAAAAAGAGCCTGACCAGTACGATATGTTGAGGGTGTTCCACACCGCTTCCAAGATCATGCAGCACTTTGACTTGAACGAGGGGGGCGCGAACGTGGTGTACCACCATGCACCGCTTCGAGGTCGCCGCCAAGCTCTACGACGCGAGGGAGAGCGAGGGCAAGACCGACGGCAAGGAGGTGGTTGAGTTTTGGACGATGGCCTTGCAAGCTGAGCACAAGATGAAATTGGCTTTGAGATCGAGACCGTTGCCAACCACCTGCCCAACTGCACCATCTGCACTGCTGATCCTGCACAACATTGGGTCTCTGTACATGGACGATCGCTTTCGGAGCGTGCTGCTACACAGGGTGTTGGCGCTCCCGCCTGATAAGCAGAAGACGCTGATCGGCATACTGGACACGAAGACCAACGTGCTCCCCACGAGTTCTCTCGAGGTCTTGACGTTTCCCAAGGCGCTGGTGCGAGTGGCAGACGCAGACGAGCGTCAACGAGCTGGTCGCTCAAGCGTCCTCGTCGAGCTCAACTCGCTGCTCTCCGACATCGCGACGGCGAAGGCTGACTTCAAAGAGGCATGTGGCGACAGCGCACTCGTGGAGCGTGTCTTGAAGCACGCGGAGGCGGAGTGGGACACCTTGTTCAAGCAAACGAAGGCTGTCATGGACTTCATCCCGCCGCTCAAGCTGGACTTCGTGGGGAAGTACGGGGCGCTGTGCGATGCGATCGAGAAGTGGGATTTCCAGGAGGTCGGCTGGTTGACAAAGCCTTCCGACACCAAGGATCGGAACACGGGGAGTCAGATCGCGATTGCAGTGGCCCAGTTCCCGACGACGTCCAAGGTCGTCGAAAACGTGTGCGGCAACATCAAGTGGCAGGAGAGCGCCAAGAGCCAGGCTATGATCCAGCTTCAGGCCGCCTTGCCGACGGCGAAAGAGACGCTGGGGCAGGCCGCGAAGCTAGCGGCGTGCATTGCTCTGGCTCACTTGCTCGTGGCCGGCGGCAGCAAGGCCGCCGTGTCGGACTACGACCAGACCGTCAAGTGGACGCAGTCGTGCTTAGGAGTTTCGCACGGCGGGCTCCCCTCGAAGCTCCGCGAGAAGCTTGAGGAGCTCAGGAGGTCGCTGCTCGGGGACCCCATCAACAAAGCTACGGAGTCGAAGTTCAAGGATTGCGACGCCATCTCCGTGGCGACCTCGTCGGCAGCGACCGCGGCGACGAGCCGCCAGAACAGGAAGAGGTGGGCCAAGACGGCATTCAACCAGGCGGTCGTCGCCGACTGATCGCCAGCTGCCAAGCTGGCATGCGAGCGGAGTCAGAAGAGGAGGAGAAGGGATGAGAGAATGACGCAGGAGGGATGAGGGTGGAGGGACGGGAAGGAGAAGCAGGAGGGACAGGGGTGATGGGTGGAGTAGGGGGAATGAGGAGGAGGATGACGATGACGACGGTTGCGTACAAGCCGTGGGAGTGACCACAAATGATGAATGGTGGCGATGACGATGGCAAATGAAGATGAAGGGGGACTGGGCACGACACGGCCAAGGAGATGAGGATGGATGAACAGTGGGATGATGAGAAGGAGGACGACGAGTGAGGAGGATTCAGCAATGGGGCAGATGAGCAGTTTCGATGCTAAGTTGGAAAGCGTAGGAATCTCGGGGGAATGAAGGTGAAGGGGGGCAGGACTGGGGAGGCGGACGAGGATGGGAACACATGGGGATCGGATCAGATAAGGGCGAGACGGTTGAGGAGGCGAGCCGCTACTGACGTGCTCGAGCGTCGTGCTCGAGCAAGCTGCGAGAGAGAGACGAGAAGCGCCCGTGGGGGAGGGCCCGCGTCTGTGCAGGAGTGAGCGTTCTCCTCCTCCCTCCTCCTCATCGACCTCGTCGTCGCCCTCCTCATCTCCCTTACTTGTCCTCTTCTGCGTTTTCTTCCTCATCGTCAGCACTGTCGTCATCGTCGCCGTTGTCCTCGCACTCCGCGTCATCGTCGTGATCCCCATCGTCGCCTTAGTCATCGTCGTCGCGTTCTTCTCATCGTGCTCGCGGTGATCGTCGTCTCTCGCATCGTCGTCGGCATCGTGCTCCTCATTCTCGCCGTTTTTGTCGCCGTCGCGCTCGCCGTCGCCCTCCTCCCCTCCTTCCTCTTATTTCGGGGACATCTTCACGAAGAAGGCCGCGGCCTGCCTGCCTTCTCCCCCGCCGCTCTTGGGGCAGGGCAGGGGCTTCTTGACCGCGCAGACCCCCCGACCCTCTTCCTCCTCCCTCCTACCTCCTGTTCCTCGCCCATCCTCCCACGGTCGCGCCGACACTCCCCCTCCCCCCCTCGCGCCTCGACCCCCCCCCTCCTCCCCTCGCCCCCCCACAACCCCTCTCCTTCCCTTCCTACCTTCACTCCTCCGCTTACTCCGCTTCCCCCCTCTCCCCCTCTGGCACTCCCCCCTCTCCCCTCCACGCCAACCACCTCCCCTCCTCTACGTCCGCCAGTTCCCCCCGCCTTTACCTGCCACCGCGCCTGTGGTGTCTGCATTGCCGGATTGGTTGCGTTCCGTGCTGCGCATACAACCGCTCATGAGCGACATCGTTGCCACCTTCGTACGAACACATCAATGTCCCTAAGACACGAGGCGTTCCGTTTTTCCACCAGAATGTCAAGTGTATATCTGCTCAGTAAATCAATATTACTAGCATGTGCCACCAGTGGTTTTCAAGCCGAGGGGCAGAGAGGGGCCGAACAGGCTATCGCGGAACAGGCCCGACAAGCACTCCGTGGGGCGCAGGGCCGAGAAGCGAAGTTCGAGAAACAGGTCCGCGCCGGGCTCCGAGAGGCAGACACGGCGCAGGAACGGCCCGTATCCGAGGCGGAACAGATCGCAGCCAAGTCTATCGCCGAGCGGCGCCGGTTGGAACAGAACGCTGCCGAGGCGAAAAGGACAGCGGGCATGGCCCCACAGGAAGCTCAGGCTAAACCGTGGCAGCCTGAGGACGAAGCCAGGAATGCGCAGATGGGAGTAGCCAATGCGCAAGCTGAGCTCCAGCGAGTTTCTGATTCAGCTACGGCGATTCGCGGCGAAGCACGCGGAGAAGCCCAAGCGTTGATCCGAGTCAGGACAGAAGCCCTCGCAGAGCACGAGGCAGCCCTACGAAAGGCAACAGAGTTGAAATCGCTGCAACATAATGCCCAGATAGCTGCGGCAACTTCCAGGCAGGCCACGCAAACGCGAACGCCTAGGCAGAAGAGGCAACGCAAGCACTGCGGAGAGCTGAAATGCAAGCTCAGGCCGAAGTTGAGGAGACAAAGCAGCGCCTCTACACAGAAGCTGTTTCGAGCGTGCAGGAATGGGAAGCACGTCGTGAACAATCCTACCGACAACAGGCCTTGCAGATGATGCAGGATGGGCTCCAAGGCTGACCAGCACGGTGAGGGGGGCCCTCTCCGCGTCGGCGACGCGGATCCGCCCCGTCGGTGGGGCGATGTCCCAGCGGGGGGATTTGCGGTCCAGGCCGGCTACATTAGATGCGACCAGGTGCTTTACATGCCGCGTGGTTGACGCCCCGCGCACGCGCGAAAGATGCCAGAGACAGTTTTGTGAACGTCGCTTTGACTGGGTCATGGGGCGGTGTGCGCAGCGTGAAACCGATCGCATGCGCGGCAATGAGACAGCACTGAGAAGACAGCATGAAGAGGACGAAGCCATAGTGAAAAAAAGGATGCAAGAGGAGGAAGAAGCTAAGCGGTCCAGAGACAAGCAAAGGGCCAATGAAGAGGCAGTAGCCCTTGGACGCATTCGAGAGCTTGAAGAGAAAGCCGAACAGCGCGCGCTCGCGATGGAGAAAGCAGCGCAAGCGCAGGCTGAGGAGACGCGCAAAAAGGCGGAGGCAATAATGAGAGAATCAGAGATTGCCGCTGCCAAGGCCAGTGACAATGACAGCCATCAAAGGGAATTGGCCCCTAGCAGGATGCAGGAACAGAAAAAAGAAAGGAAGAAACAGAAACCAAACGGACCGCCTGTCAGCACTTTCCCTGGATACACTCCGCCAGCCCGGCCGAGGAAACAACGGCCACTGCGGGGGGCCTCGCAGGGGGCGGCGATCAGCCCCTACACCAGGGCAGTGCCCACGGTGACAGAGACGGGCCGGGGAAGAAGAAGGGTGGGTCCGGTCGCGCGCCTGGGGGCGGTAACCCTGATGACGGCGGGGACGGCGACGACGACGACGAAGACGATTCCGACGATGGAGACGACTCCGAAGGGGAGGATTCTGAAGAAGGGGATTCCGACGACGAGGACGATGACTCCTCCGAGGAGGAAGATGAGGACGCTGCGAACCGTAGAGCCAGACGATGCGCCGATGCCCAGAGAGCCGGGCAAGGCGATCCGGGGGGTGGGGGGCCACCGCCCTCGGGACCTCCAGTAGGTGGCGGGCGCCCAGGGCTCCCGGACTCCGGCGGTCTGGTGCCCGTGGTGACACCGTGGATTGCGGCAGATCGAATCGACAAGATAATTTTGGACCCGCTGCCAGACGCGGGATCCCTCCGTATGTGGAAGAAATCTGTCATTCGAGCGGTGGCATCGAGCTCGCAACAAAATCATGTGTTGGTGTCAAAGTGGATCACCGAGGCATTCGAGCCAAAACAGGTCAAGGCAAAGGCTCTGAAAGACCCAGGACCGTATTTCGGGAACCTGGACATGCATATCGCTGCGGACCTCATCGCGAAGATTCATAATATTCAAAGGGATCCAAATCCTCCTCATGCCTTAAGGCACCTTGCTAAGGAAGTTGTTCTCGCTGACTCTGCCCTAATGAAGGACGGGGGATTACTCGCAGGAAGATCGATTCTTCGTATTATCCAAACCCATGTCACTACCCGCGAAGACCATGGTCAGGCGCATACCTACGAGGACCTTATGGCTACCCAGATCAAAGGGGAAGGCAAAGAGGCGGATCGCGACCTCTACCAGTTCTACGATGAATGGATGAGGCTGACGCTGGAGATGGAGAAACCCCACAAGTCCTTCAGGCCCTCCATACAAAGCCATTTCTACCAGCAGAGGAAGAAGTGCCCTTGCATGGCGATGACTCTTGCAATGCATGACAACAGTAACGAGAAGTACGGAAAGGGCATCAAGTCGCATGAATGGTTGCTGGGGAGACATGCAAACCAGATGCTGAAGGACCGGGGAGAAGATAACAGGAGGATCCAAAAACAGCAGATCAACCAGCGATGGGGTAAGACCCGGTGGCGAGAAGACTAGTGGGGGGAACAAGGATTCCCTTACCATGAAAGATGGGAGGCTCAAGAAGTCCGTCATCTGCCGACGCTGGCAAAAGGGGCAATGTCCCCTGAGCCGACAAGATAGCATGTACTTGCACCCCAAGAAGGCTGCGCTCGCATCCCAGCAGAAAGGAGGTAGGACTCAGGTGGCTACACCAGGCCCCGCCCAATGGAGGTACAGCAAGGAAGAGCAGAGGGGGCAGATCCTAATCAAGGGGCAAAGGTAAGAACGATAAGACAGGGGCAAGGGTAAAGGCGTCAACAAAGGTGGCAAACAAGACCGCTCGAAGAAACATGATGGACGCGGCAGCAGCCGCGGGAGTAGTAACGCCCCATCAAAGGGTAAGAGTCGGGTTTGCTATGCCTACAGCCGAGGCCCCCAGCACTGTGATGGATCTTGCGGTAGAGAGCGTCGACCGCTGACGAAAAAAGATATGCAGGAGCGCGATGTCTGGGAACAGAGTCTCCAGAAGTCTGGAAAAGGGCTGCCGTGCAGCCGCAATGCGGAACGCACGGCCGCAGCCGAGAAGACTGTGAAGGCGTTGAAGACACAGGCAGCTCCCGCTCAGGACGGAGGGAAGACGCACGGCGGAAAGTCCGGTGGTCAGAAGGGAAAGAGTAAAGCGAAATGCTGGTACCACCTGGGCGGCCAGACGTGCTCTTTCGGCGACAAGTGTTGGCACAAGGCCAACGCTCCCGGGCACCCGTGACCCGGGGCGGCGGCGTCTGGCGCCCATGGTGCCGACGCCGCCCACGCGGGCGCTGTCGCAGTGGCGATGTGCGCGGCCTCCGCAGAACCGGTGCAGTTGGCATGTCCGGCTGTGCCCTTCGCCGGATCACGATCCCGGGCGATGAATCAATGGCCAATGGCCAGCCCAGGAGATGAATGGTCAGACAGCTCTGCCTTCATTGAGGCGCTGAGATGCCTGATAGCCGGCGGAATCCGATCGTGCCCGAGGGGTGCGTTGGACCTGCTGGAGACAGGCAAGCCCAGACGAAGTTCCCTGCG